GGGGCTCAACAACACACTAGAGGTGGCAGAAGGAACAATTAGTAAAGTTGAAAACAGGGCAAAAGCGATTCTCCAATCTGACAGACAGTGAAAAATTAAGATAGTTTCTCATAGAACTGTGGTACACCAGTACGCGTGGCAACACGCACAAAACTGGCAGACCAGAAGAGAGAAACATACAAAAAAATTTAGACGGCAAAATGCCTGAAAACTTTTTAAAATTCAAAGAAAACATTCATCTGCACACCTAAGTTCAACAAACATTACAGAGAACAAACATAAGAGATTCACAACTAGACAGCACAGACAGTTAAAAAGACAAGGAGAAAATCTTAAAAGCAACGAGCAAAACAATTCATTCTGTGCAGCAAACCAAGAGATTAGCAACTGACTCCTTATCAGACATATTACAGAACTCCTTTAAGGGCCTCGTATTCGTAAATAGTAAAGCAAGTGTACATATTTTGTGGCCTTCATTTACAATAGATAAATATCACTTTTCTGGTGTTCAGTCAATATCAAAAAATGCCTTACTTGATTGGTCTTTGGAACCAAGTCTATGCAAGAAGACTGGCTTGCCTGGATCTGGGTGTGAGCCAAAGCTTGAAGACATATAAATCAAGGGTTAAGTGAGAATCCCAAGCTTGGTAACGTAAAGAAAATTGTATACACAATCTGGCTTTAAAACGTTGCTGGTGAGCCAGAGTACCAGAGCATGGAACAAATAGGCAGGCAGGAACCTAGTTCAGTGATTAGATGAATGCAGATCACCTGGAAAGACTTGGGAGCAGCATAAATGGCCCATGAATAGATATCTTTTCCCTAAAGCATGATGCACAGCACAGCATGTACATAAGCTGACTCATTTCAATTGTCAGAGCTGTAGTGACAACACAAGGACCTACGCCTTTACCAGTAAATAAAGGGGAATCTACCTACAACACTAGAATATCAGCACAATGTACAGAAGAATAGGAGGGCAAAATAAATATAATTTTCAAAAGACTGGGATGTGCTGCAGTGTTATTAAATAGGATGGAAAATCTAAGAAGTGTGAAAAACCTTTTAAAATGTTAGATTTTACAGGGTCACTATCAAGAAAGGAGTCAAAGTACTAGGAAAATAATCCATAATTTAAAGAGAAACTTTTCAGGGTTTTGAGAGTAGTGAGCAATGTATACCAAGAGTAGGGCAGGAACAGTAGAGGGCAGGCCCAGGAGTGTGCAGGCCCAGGAGTATGCAGGCCCAGGAGAGGGCAGGCCCAGGAGTGTGCAGGCCCAGGAGAGGGCAGGCCCAGGGGTGTGCAGGCCCAGGAGAG